CTATTGCCAATCCTCCTCCTTTTTTATTTTTTTCCCCAAAGCCCCAGTAGATAGTTGTATGTCATAGTTGCACATCCTTCTAGTTGCTGTATGTGGGACATGGCCTCAGCATGGCTGGAGAAGCGGCGCGTCGGTGCGCTCCTGGGATCTGAACCCGGACCACCAGTAGCGGAGCACATGCACTTAACTGCTAAGCCATGGGGCCGGCCCCTATACTTTCTCTTAGTACCACTTTTGCTGCATCCTATAGATTTTGGTATGTTGTACTTTCATTTTCATTTGTCTCCAAGTATTTTTTGATTTCGCCTTTGATTTCTTCATTGATCCAATAATTGTTCAGTAGCCTGCTGATTAGTCTCCACATATTTGTGCTTTTCCCAGCTTTCTTCTTGTAGTTGATTTCTAGTTTAATACCATTATGGCTGGAAAAGATGCTTGATCTGTTTCCAGTCTTCTTAAATTTATTGAGACTTGTTTTGTTCCCAAACATGTGGTCTACCTTTGAGAATGTTTCATGTGTACTTGAGAAAAATGTGTATTCTCTTGCTTTTGGATGGAACCTTCTATATATATATATATATATATATATATTAAGTCTATCTGGTCTAATGTTTCATTTAAGTCCATTGTTTCCTTGTTGACTTTCTATCTGGATGATATCTCCATTGATGTAATTAGGGTATAAAGTCCCCTATGATTATTGTGTTGGTCTCAATTTCTCCCTTTACGTCTGTTAATAGTTGCTTTATATATTTTGGTGCTGCTATGTTAGGTGCATATATTTTAATAAATGTTATATCTTCTTGATGGATTGTTCCTTTTATCATGATATAATGCCCATCTTTGTCTCTTGTTATCTTTTTTGGCTAAAATCTATTTTGTCTGATATTAACTTAACTACACCCACTTTCTTTTAGTTGCCATTTGCTTGGAGTATCATCTTCCATCCCTTCACTCTGAGCTTATGTTTGTCTTCAGAGCAGAGATGTGTTTCCTGGAGGCAGCATATTGTTGGGTTTTGTTTTTTAATCCATCTAGCTACTCTGTGTATTTTGATTCGTGAATTCAATTCATTTACATTTAGGTAATTATTAATATATGAGGACTTAATACTGCCATTTTATCTTTTGTTTTCTGCTTGCTCTATATTTCTATTGTTTCTTTTTCCTTGTGTTTCTGCTGCCATTTCAGTTTGGTGGTTTTATGTGATTTGTTTCTCAGTTTCCTATTTTTTTTTTTTATGTCTCATAACTCTGCTCTGAGTTTTTGTTTTGTGGGTACCATGAGGTTTGTATAAAAGGTCTCATAGATGAGATAGTCCTTTTTCTGCTGATAGCATCTTATCTTCATTTGCCTATGCAGGTTTCCTCCTTTTCCTCTTCCCTTTCTATGTTTTTGTTGTCACAAATTATGTCTTTTGCTATTGTAGGTTCTTTACCAAATTGAAGTGGTCATAGTTATTTTTGATGCTTCCTTTCCCTTAACCTTTATGTTATCATTAAGTGTTTACTAACCTGTGCTGATATAGAGTTGCAATTTTCTGATTCTGACTATTTTATCACCTTGCTTAATCTTTGTATACCTTTGCTTTGTATACCTTTGTATACCTTTGCCTTTTCATTTCAGGTAGGAGAGCTCTTTTCATCATTTCTTTAAGTCAGGTATAGTGAAAATGAATGCCCTCAGCTTTTGTTCATCTGCAAAAGCCTTTATTTCTCCTTCACATTTGAAAGATAACTGTGCTGGATAGAGTATTCATGGCTGGCAGTTTTTGTCTTTCAATATCTTGAATATATCATTCCATTCTCTCCTGGCCTGTAGGGTTTCTGCTGAGAAATCTGCTGATATCCTTATGGGGATTCCTTTGTAGGTTATTGTTTTGTTTTTTTTTTCCCCAGGCTTATTTTAATATTCTTGCTTTGTCATTGACTTTTGCCAGTTTTAATGTAATGTATCTTAGAGAAGGTCTCTTTGTGTTGAGATAATTAGGTGTACTATTAGCTTCATGTACTTGTATATCCAGTTCCTTCTCCAGGTTTGGGAAGTTCTCAGCTATTATTTCTTCAGATTAGCTCTGTGCTCCCCTCTTCCTCCCTTCTCCTTCTAGTATACCCATTATCCTTATTTTGCTTTTCCTAATTAACTCAGATATTTATCATAGAATTTCTCCATTTTAAAAAATCTTAGTTCTCTCTCCTGTTCCACCTCAATCATTTCTAGATTTCTATCTTTGAGCTCACTAATTCTCTCTTCCATATTGTCTGCTCTATTTGCAGTGCTTTCTACTTTATTCTTTACCTCATTTGTTGTGTTCTTAAGCTCCATAATTTCTGTTTGGTTCTTTCTTATTGTTTTAATCTCTTTGGTGAAGTACTCCTTCTTTTCATTAATTTTATTCCCGAGCTCATTGAACTGTCTTTCTGAGTTTTTTTGTAGCTTGTTGAGTTACTTCAGACAGCTATTTTGAATTCTCTGTCAGTTAGATCCCAATCTTCCATGACTTCAACTTTGGTTTCTGGGGATTTGTCATTTCTTTTTGTGATACCATGTTACCATCATTTTTCATGGTGCTTGATGTGTTGTTCCTCTGCTGGCACATTTGTAGTAGTGAACATCTTTCTTATTTAGGTAAAGCTTTGTTTACTTTGATTCTGAGTTGCTTCTTATTTTATTTGAGAGCCTGCACTTTCCTCCCTCCACTGCCTCCACCAGAGGTGTTTTCAGTGCCCTCCTTGTGCTGTTTGTGCCTCTGAGGTTGCTGGTGCCTTGCTGCTGCCAGTGTCATTGCAGTCATGGACTTCACCACTAGGGTCACTCTGCTGACACGTACCTCTGCTGTTTTCAGGATTGCCTGGGCTGTGGGCTTCCCTACCACAGTGGGGCAAGGGGAAGGGTGGGGCAAGAACCAGGGTCACAGACGCCTCTGTCATGTCCAGGGTTGTCGGGTCTGCAAGCACCACTGTTGTGGATGTGGGGTCAGGGTTGTGGGTGCTGCTGCACCTGGGGAGGACCAGGGTTGCAGGCTCTACTGTCACTGCTACTGGGCTCTCCATAGCCTCAGGTGTTAGTTTGGCTGAGGAGCCTCTACTATGTGCACCTCCACTCCTGCTCCTGGATTTTCTTGGAGTGCTGTCATCGCCA